TCTGTATTGATAATGTTGGCAAGATTGTGGAGAGGCCAGTTATTTTTAGCATGGAAACAGAATAAAGTAGATCAATTGTAAGCTTATTGGAAGCAAACCGATCTAATCAATATAAGAGTTGTTATAGAATCGACATTGGGTTTTCTATTCCTGGTTATAATTCCAATAGAATTGATATTAAAGCGATTATGGAATATGGTGATAATAATGCTAATATTTTGTCAATATAATACTGACTTGATAGTTATTGCCCTCATTAAATATCACTTAGGTTAAAAATAGTCTTAAAGTAGGATGAGCCCCATTTTTTTGTGAAAATTAGCTAAAAAAAAACAAGGAAGTCAATCATAAAGAATTTCTGGAATTCCATTTCAATGCTTGTATTTAGCCAAAACTAAATATGTTAAAAAATAATGGTTCCTCATTTTTGAAAGTAGATTTGGGTCTTGATTAGTAAATAGTCTTAAGACATACTAAATCTGCACTTGTTTTAATATACCTCAAACTAGAAATATCACTTTCTATTTCTATATCAGACAGGGTGTCAAGAAAGACCAGTTGTCATTTTAACTTTAACCTGGATAATTCTGAACACCCATGTATTTGAAGTCTAAAAATTTTGACCTTAAGCTGTGAACAGTATTACTGATTAACTGAAGTCCCTTTAAATACAATGAAAACATGCTTTCATAAATTTTTTCCTCTTAAAATTGAATAGCTGTGGTGTATTTTTTTGACATTAATGTTTTAGATTTTCATACTTTAAATATATGGCACTATGTTTACATTAGATATGACACATTAGACCTGACATTTATCACTGTTAATGTACACATTAAAAATCTGAATGTTCATAAAACTACAATTCAAATCACATGACTTTGCATTACAAGCAGTTTCTAGTTCTCTTAAGAAATTCCTGTTAAAAGAACATGACCAACAATATTTTGTAGGTTAGAAAATCAATGAAGTAATGCTCAGACCTACATCAAAAGAATATTGAAAAACCCAGTCAGGGTTGCAAACAGGGGTTTCAAAAAGGTGAATATGCCCTGCTTTGGTAGCAAGACCTGCAACAGTGCTTATTTGGACTTAAGAGTCAAGCTTTAAAAAAGGTATTAGGCTGGCCAAATATTTTATGTTTATCAGGGACATTGATAAAATCAATTTGCAACTTTCCAATTTCCAATCAGATGTCTGTTATCTTATCAATGTCTCCAGTACGCAAAATAAATTTATAAAACCTCTTAACCTAAATTTGTAATTTGTAAAATTGAACCTTTTAATCACTTCTATTAAAGCA